GAGGAAGTCAAAACTCAGTAAATTTGAACTATATAGGTATCTCTTTAGAACAAAAGATAACCTTGAAGCTTTGATTTCACATTTTTTTTTTAAAACAAATAAGTGGTCAATGGGGTTCCAGGTGAACTAAATGTCCATCACAATCCATATCAAACTGCTTGTCCTATGAAGTTCTCCTTTCTTTTCATTTCCAGTGAGCTAAAATTATTTGGTTTCCTAAACATGAGCCTGAAGATTTCTGCAAAACCATTCTGAGTCAACAATCTTATTTTCCTCTGTGTGAAATGATTTTAGCGATAAAGGCTGGGAAATTGGTGTATATATTTATAATTTCAGTGTCCCATCGTTTGTGGGCCAAATCTGTTCAGTAGTGACGCAAGCTGTGCACCTTCCCCCTTCTCCCAGACAATAGGTTTACGAAACCTGCACCATCAGGTTTCAAGTCGCAGGAGAAGGCATGCTAACTCAGGAGGGAGTCGTCACACAGGGCATCCTCACCGAACAGGCTACATGGCGACACACCGTAGCTTTGCTGGTGAGCATTCTAAAGAAAACATTAATTTTGTACTGGTCTGTGTGTCTTACTGTCTCTTGTGTCAGAAGAGAAGAAACACGTTCTGGGAAGGTTGATCAAGGTTTGACTGCCTGCCTCTGTTTGCCAGAGATTGGATGGGAAATTTTGCCTTGGAGCGCCATCTAGAGGAAATTTTTAGCACACTCAGGGCATTCTCTTGGTGTGACTGAACCAGATGGGGGTATAGTAAAAAAAATTTCCTTCCTTCCTTCCTTCCTTCCTTCCTTCCTTCCTTCCTTCCTTCCTTCCTTCCTTCCTTCCTTCCTTCCTTCCTTCCTTCTGTCCTTCCTTCCTCCCTCCCTCCCTCCCTTTCCCTCCCTTTCTGTTATCTCTCTCTCTCTCTCTCTCTCTCTCTCTCCCCCCGCCCCCCCATATACTCAGTTTAAATGCGGTTATGCTACTTAGAGCAATAATGCTTTCTCAGGACTCTAACAAACCCAACTTCCTCTCGAGTTGTTGACGGGGGTGGGTGAAGAGACTACCCAAATAATGTAGTTTATTGCCATTGCTCTCGGTTGCCTCCTGGAGCCTGTAGTAAGCAGTCTATCAACTGCTGTTGAAGCTACTACATACTTCTGATACAGCACTCAGAGGAATCGAGCCAGAGGTGACGAGGAAGCCTGTGCCCTGAAAACCAGCTCTCGTAGCCTCTAAGAGTGCTACATAAGTTGCCAAAACACAAACATCAACCAACAGTCCCACCTAGCTGGTAAGACTCCCAACCCCACAAAGACTAGAATGTGGCAAAACATCCCCAGGGTGTGATAGTGGCACTGATACCATGGAGGTAACCAACAGCTGCCTACTTGGATTTCCGTCCCTCTCAAGAGGAGGGAATTCATGTTTGGCACTGTAAACCTCGCCAACTACCCATGGCTGGCGAGGTCATGGACCCTAGAGGAGAACCTAGTGTGGCTGCTTTCCCAAACAGTCATATTTCCTAGCGGTATTCTAAGTGTGTGCTCTACCTCCACAGAGACAGCTCGCCCTCTCCCCCATAGAAGCCTCTTTTTGCAGCAGATGAAGATTATTAGATGAAGATTATTCAAGAATCCACAACTGGTCAAAAGGCTGAAAGCAACAGACCACTGGCTGCCCAACCACTGTGGATACATCTACAACACAACAGATAGAACTCCTCCGCCTAAGGCTCAGGGAACGTCTCGGAAGAGGGAGCAGAACGATTGTAAGAGCCAGAGGGCCAAGAAGTCTGCTCTGAGACGGTGCCTTCTATATATGGCAGGGAAGCTGCACCATGAAATATCAACAAGACCTGAGTAATGACAACACTTGTTGACGCGCCCCTATAGATGGGGAAATTTCACAAGGCCCCGCTCCTAGATGAAGAGCAACAGGCAATTAGTGGCTTCGGAGAGAGGAAGAATCGGTCTTCTCCAGCGACCAGCTCCTGATTATCCAATCCCAGGAGGCCAGCCCTAAACATATACACATAGCGACAAGATCAGACGGGCCCAGAAAACGGATATACAGCCGTAATTAGTTGTGTAAATTATAATTATGCGTCTAAAGAAGAGGAGGTCACGAGTTGGAGAGGGAGTCGGGGGCAAGGGAAGTGTTAGGTGGTGACAAGGGGGTGTAAATAAAGTGTTCATGTGTGAAATTCCCCCCAAATTAAAAGTTAAATAAAAAATGATGCCAAGTCGGGATGGGGAGGAGGGGGAGTGTATCTGATAGGAGTTAGGAAGAAATGAGAAGTGGATATATTCAAAATACATTGTACGTATGCTTGAAAATTCTCAAAAATAATAAAAAACATGTTTTTAAAAATAAGTTGTTTGCTACATGGCTTGTTTAAGGCCAGCCTGGGCTACATAACTTGCCTCAAAAAAAAAATCCAGATTAATAGAAAAGTTTGGTTTTGGTTTTAACTTCTCACCCAGAAGTAAAATGTGTGATCCTGTGAATGGAGGCAGAATGTCCAGTGAAGGGAACTCATAAGAGACCTCAGCAGACTCCAGGGCTGAGTGCAGCTCTGGCACCCATGCAGACATAATGGCTGTCCTTTCCCATAGATCATACGTCAGAAACTAGATTTCTAGTTTCTGGGTCATACAGTCTTAGCTATCTCCAGAATTGCTGTCTTGATTCAAAAAATTCAGCTTAACCAGATTTTCCAAGATCAAAGCTGGAGAAGATGCTTGTGTGGAAAAAATCAGAAGTTGGTGTTTCGGCCTGCGGTAATCCTTCATTAAGTTCAGCGGATCACCGGGAATGGAAAACAACGGCTCTTCCAGATGCGACGGCGCAGGTCTGTGTGTGGGAGACTGGAATAACATCCACTGACACCCTCTCTCCAAAGACCCCTTTCTGCACGTCACAGCCTCCCGCCCGTCGCCCTGGGAGAACAGTGAAGGCTTCTGTTTTTGCATCAGCATGGATACAAAAACAAAACCCAGACTTTTCCTAGCAGTGACACTCTCCAAGTTGCTGAGCAAACACAAAACACCCTTAAAATACTCTGACAGGACGATGCCCCCAAATATGGGGAGTGGAGGCATAGCTAGAATGCTCTACTTTTTTTTTTTTTTTTTTTTTACACTAGTTAAGAAGAATCAAGGCTGCTGGTACCACAAAAACGTTCGGTGATGAAAGGTCAGTATTCGATCCTGTCTGCACCCGTGGCTGCACCATGACCCCGCCACTGCTGCCAGATGCCTGTGTCCCGAGAGGCTTGTTATAAAAGACCACCCCTGCCCTTCATATCTACAACACAGTGTCATGAACATTTCTAATCCCTTTACCTGAGCAAAACTCCTGCTTGCTTATTTTGGCAATTCCACAATTCCACAGGTTTTCCAAGGTAACTAGTTAACAAGTCATTGCTTTCAGTGAGCTGGATTCATAAGTTCCCCACATGCAAGCTATTTCTTGTCTACTAAGCTCTGTTAAAGTTGAGCAAGGTGAAGGTGTTTTGGTTTCCAAGCAGTGTTGGCCCCTGAGCAAGTAAGCCTCCTGAGCGCATTCCCCTCCATAAGCAACGTCTTGACTCTGATGGTGTAGACGGCAGAAGGCAGGACCAGTCCAGCGTTCCCAGTCCGTCTGCCTCATCCTGAAGCAGAGGCGGAGCCACACAAGCTCCAAAGCTGAAAGCAAAGGCCTTTGAGTCTCGTCTTCTGCACACTTGAGTTGACTCCAGTACAACATACATGGTTGAGAGCTGACCGAGTGCAAGGCAGAGGACGGGTGTGCTGGGATGTAGAGGCTGGGAACACACATGCTGAAGGAGTAAGGAATTCTCTTTCCTCAGGTGGCGTAGTGAGAATGAGAGATTGGGACCTTAAGACACCTGGTAGAAACACTGCCTACGCTGGTATGGTGGAGGAGAAAGGAATGGCTGATGTTTTGGGAGAACGGGGAGCTCAGTAGAAAAGCTGGCATTGGATCAGTACCTTCAAGGTTGGGGAGACGTTTAATGGGCAGAGAGCAGGATGGAGATTCCGATGAAGAGGTGGGATGTTCTTCGTTCATTTGTACCAAAGCAAAATGCATTTCACACAGAAGTTTCTATTTTGTGTCTAAATTTTAAGATGGGTACAAAGACATGAGGGATTTGTATTAATGTTGTAAGAATCCGGAACCCGTCATCTATTTTTTACATAGTAAGCATATTTATGTATATTCACACATGGGTACATATCAATACTTGTCTACGTTACTAAGCAGCAGAGAACCTAACATATTTAAGTCAGGAACATTTTCCTTGGTCATTTAACAATGCAAGCAGAAACCAGAAAACGTTTCTCGCTAGCAAATGGGAATAAGTAGAGGGTTTTGTTTTGATCCTTGCCGTCAACATTTGCTTTCAGAGTTAATCCCAAGGCCGTTTCTGACCAGCTGTGCCGGTTTTCTGTCCAAGTCACACAGGCTAGAGCCCAGGGGACAGATAGTTTCAGCTTAGTGAGCTTCTGAACCCTGGGTGTCCACTCTTACCCCTTCCTTCTCCTGAGGCCTCACTGGACAGTTCCCCAAGCAAGTGTTCTTTCAGAATTCCAGATTCTCATGGTCATGCCCACATACCCTCTCGGCTCGTGGCTGCAACCCAATCTTATCCAGGGGTTTCTCTGCCCTGTGACTTAGATCTCTATTCCTCCACAAAGAAATTACATAGAAAGTCCAGGTGTTAGGGGCAGGGAGTAAGGATGGGCAGGGAACCAGCTTGCCAACCGAGAACACTGGGGAAAGGCCCCGGTCTCCATTCTAGGGCTGCAGCCCTGTCTTAAGGTGTTGATGCTTTCGTGGCTTTAAATTAGCTGTTGTCAAATGCATGCCGCCATAACCAGGACGTGTGTGGGGTGCCATGGCTTCACCATGGAGAAACTTTTCAGTGGCATTGAAATATATAGGAGAAAGCCAGGAGGTCTGCGCGAACAGAAGGCGGCCTTCCACCATCCGCAGACGTACTTACGGTGAGCATGGCGAACATCAGCTGGCACACGTTGAAGGCGTGTCTCCAGTTGTGGTAGAGAACCATTCGGTAATTCTTCCTTACTGTCAGAAGCCACCGGCACAAGGTCTGAAATGGGAGGAGGAGGCTGTGTGAGGGATGGGTTTGTGTCCTCAGAGGACACCAAGGCAATCGGGACTTTCCACCAGGCACTGGGCGGGTGGCTGAGTCGTTAAGAGCAACTATGGTGCTGGTGGCAGATCGGGGTCTTTTTCACACCTTTACCTCGAGTGTGAGGGTGTTCTGTGACCTCTTCTGACCTCCCGTGGGTCCCAGGAATGAACGTGGTGCCCATACTTACACATAGGCAAAACAGTCAAACACGTAACACAAGGCAAATCTAATAAAGACATTTTTAACAAAGGAAAACAAAACCCTAAACTTCTGCTAACACTCTGCCAGATTCTCGGGGCACTTCCGTGGGGCCCATAGGCAGGAACCGTCACCTACAGCGTATCTTTGGAAAAGCCTTTACATCACCGTGGCTGCGACACTTCGCCAGGTGCACCCCTTAGCTCCATCCCAGAACCTCTTACCTCGTAGTCGATTTTAAATTTCTGTACCATGCCCAGCTCCATGAACATCCGGAGGGCAGCTGTGATCATGGCGTCAACGTCAAGGGAAAAGTCATCAAAATGAATGTCGTCAATGGCCAGCTCTGACACCAGAGGGATATTGGCTGCCTACGGAATCAGAGACACAAGCCAAGACAAGTTCACTAGCTTTACCTAACCCCGTGTCTCACTCTCTCTGGCTTATCAGCGGTGCCACATAAATCAGGCCTGACCCGCGCTTACACCCCAATACGGCTAAACGCTGAGCTATAAATGTCTTTTGTTTCTGAGCAGCAAATGCTCAAGAAAATGGAGTGGGGAGGGAGAGAAGGGAAGCTAATTAGAAGATAAAATATACACACTGGATTTCTCTACCGAATTTAGAATATACAACTGTCTAGTTTACTGGAACTATGGCCATACAATGTACTCTGATGCATATTGCTGCATGCAGAAACATCTGGGTGGCCAGCAGCTATGAATTTTATTTGCTTCCATGCAGAGCAGGACGTGGGAACACACCACTCTTCTTTGCATTCTTGTATCCCGGATCTTGCAAAAATACTCTCTATTAAACATCCATTCTGTATATGCAGAAGGACAGAAGAGGGCAAGCAGTTCATCTCTGGCACAAACCATGCTGCACTGATGATAAAACAGAGCTTCTCAGAGAGAGGGCAGTTCAGTTAAAAGATCAATTTTGCGATATTGTTTAGCAATAAACAGTACCCTTCTAACACTGGTCATACTTATTTAGAGTTTCCGAACACTCCTGTTAGGTGGCTGTCAGTTATCCTGCACAAGCCTAAAGGAGAGGGAAGCCAAATCTTTGGAAATCATTTTCATGCCAATTGGTTGGGTTTACCTTGCCATTTGGACCACTCTTGCTGTGTGTGTGGGTTATTTAATGCCTTTCAAGTTACCAGAGACCATTGTGCATTTGTATTCCTAGTCTATTCACTGGGTATAAATTACCCTGCGAGTAATTTATGCCCTGGAACTACTTTGGCTAAGCAATTAAACCCAGCTCTGGTCACTCCGGGCATTCCAGAAACCACATAATCAATCCTGCCTCTCCAACCCCGTGCTTTTCTGCAAAAGTTTATGTGCCTAAGCTAAAAATACAAACACTGCTTATTCCCCACTGTGGATGAGGGATGACCGAATCTATGTGTTGGGACAGCTAAGCTTCCATTTTGAAGACTTTAATTCTATCAAAAATTAATTCCCTTGGATTTTACCAAATCATTTTTTTAATATAACAATAGGTTTGCAGATACTAGATTCCCGGAATTAGATGGCAAGGCTTGTGGAATTCACAGTGGTAGGAATCTTCTTGGTGTGTATGTGTCCCCACAAGAGTGCCTTGCTTGCTTATTTACTTTAAAACTTTTTCATAAAAGTTGGATAAATCTACATTAGTTTTTTTAAAATAAGTGTACAAAATAACAGATTTTGTTGAGAATGTCACACATGCATGTCAAGTATTTTGCTCAAAGTCTACCCCTCTCCCATCTCCCTTCCTGTTAGCCCTGTTCCTCTCCATCAATAGCCCCACTGTAATGTCACACATGTATTTGAATGTATATCCCACATATGAGAGAGACCACACAATATTTGCCTTTCTGAGTCCGACCAATTTTATTTAGCATGCTGGTTCCAAGATCCAATTTATTTATTTATTTATTTATTTATTTATTTATTATTTATGTCTGTTTATATTTTGCTTCAAGTGACACAATTTTGTTTTTCTTTTGGTATATGTGTATGTGCCTGTCTGTGTGTGCATGTGGTAGCCAGAGGCTGACATTGCGTCTTTCACTATCCTCTCCACCTTTCTCTCTTTTGAGAAAGGGCCTATCACTCAATTAGAACTCCTCAGTTGGCTAGGATGTCTGTCCCGTGATCTCCTGGGATCTGCCTGTCCCCTGCTTGTGCTGCCCCGTCCCCTGTTTGTGCCCACTGCAGCACTAAGGTTTCAGAGGCACGCAGCTTTATGTGGGGCCAGCCGTCTGAACTCAGGTCCTTGTGCTCCCACGGATGCCACTTATCCACTGAGCCATCTCCCAGCCCAGCTTCCTTCTTCCTTATGACTAAACAAAATTCTGTGCCATTGTCTGTCACTTCCAGGAACCACACTCTATTTAGCTGCCATCCTGCGGACAGACACTTAGTCTGATTCCATATTTTGGCTATTGTTAATAGGTGGCAATAAACACTGATGCATTGGATCTCTGCAGGATTAACATGTCAGTGTTGAATGCAAATCAGCTCCACCATGCTGTAACAAACATAAACACACAGTCATAGTCCTCTGGCAACAAATGTTTTCTTACCGAGAGCAACCACTTTCAACACCTAGATTTATTTTAATCAGCTAAGATAGTTACAATCTTAATACTTCTTGCAATTGCTTTCTTTGAAGAATTATCCAAGACCCCACCGTTGAAGACAATGGTCAAGCTGACTCATGGTACATCTAACAATCTCTGCTGCCTCATGTACTACACCATTTCATACATACATGCCTGCATGCCTACAAACATACGCACATACATATATTCATACTTTGTTTTGTTAGGTACTATTCAATAATTATACCATTATGCCCACCTACAAGATATTCGTAGTTAACTCATACAATTTACTATGACCACCTGTCAATTCATTGACCTCATTTAAATTCTATGGTAAGGTTAGTAGTAGTTCTTCAGTCTCTCCATGGGGCAAAGGCTGGGCTTGAACTCCCTCCTGAGTGCTGGAACTGGTTATGTTGGGCTAACATCCTCTTTACTGTGAACTTTGCTGTCAACTCTGTGCTTACCATTGGTTCCAACTTCTTGTCAAATAAATTGGTAGAGAACTTATTAATGACAACATTGTCTCCTTTGAAAATGTTAGATGTGTAGATGGAAGTTTCTGTCCCAGCCAGTACCACAGCTGTTCAGTCCCAAAGAAACATACAGAGGCTGATTAATTATAAACTGTTTGACCTATTAGCTCAGGCTTATTATTTACTAGCTCTTACTTAAATTAACTCATAATTCTTGTCTATGTTTAGCCTTGTGACTTGGTACTTTTTCTCAGTAAGGCATTCTCATCTTGTTTTCCCTGTGTCTGGCTGGTGACTTGCTCTCTGCCTTTTATCTTCCCAGAATTCCCTTAGTCTGGTTGCCCCACCTATACTTCCTGCCTGGCTACTGGCCAGTCAATGTTTTATTAAACTAATATGAGTGACAAATCTTTATAGTATACAAGAACATTATCCCATAGCATAGATGCTTTGACCAATCTATGGATGACATGAAGAGATGTCTCCAGGTTCCTGCTCTGACTTCTCTAGATGAGGGACTTCAACCTGTAAGGTCAAATCAATCCTTTCCTCCTCAAGTTGTCTTGGCCAGGGTTTTATCACAGCAAGAGAGAAACAACCAGGACACTACCCTCACTTCTCTGAAGATGTTAATGACAGTCCCATTGGACATTTCTTCTCCTTCTCTATTTGTTTTTTACCACTCTGCTTTGATCTTTGTTCTTATGATGACAGAAACACATATGCTAATTTACACAAAAATTCAAGCTAACAGAATTATTAAATACATGTATGTTATTGTATAGCAGACCTCTAGAACTTTTCATCCTGTGTAATCACACCCACTGAGCGACTTCTATGATCCCATCTCAGCTTTTAGCAGCCATTGTTCTGTTTTTGGTTTCCAAGTTTGGTTGCTCTAACTACTGTGTACATAGGGAGCCGTGCAGTATTGGTCTTCATGGCACTGGCTTGTTTGTCCAACATGTTGCTGTATCATCTAAGCTGCTATCTTCACTTTAAGGATAATAGACCAAGGAATGAGCACCCACCACCCTTTCCCTTCATCCTCAGATGGCTCAGGGTCTTTCTCAACTACCCTCCAGTAAGGGGAGTTTGAGGTATCAGAGGCTTCAGAAGTCTTGGAGGATTTCCTCGGGTGTCCGGTAATCTTTGGTTTCCTAGTTTTGCTTAAAAGCATCTATTACAGCTTAGAGGTTGCCCTGCCGAGGGGTTGAGTGACCTGTTTTCTTTGGGAAGCTTCCTCCTGTCTTTGCTGTTTATTGGTTCCTGTTCCCTGGAAAATCTGGCTGGTATCCAGTTGGGAGTCTGCAGGGGGCCTCTGGGGAACCTCAGTGTGGAACTGTTCCTTCATCTTCAGCCCGAACCCCTGCCCTCCTCTGCACAGATGGCCCTGTGCAAAGACTCCCCTGCTCTGCCTAACCAAAGGCCAGCTTCCAGATTCCAGGAAGCGGGACAGGGAGCCTGGATTCAACTGCCCTTAGACACGCTGCTTTCTGGCAGCAGCCCCACTTTCGTGGTCACTCAGAGCCAGCCCCTGAGCTGCTGAGCTGTTTGTAGGGTGCGGGGGTTCGATGGTGTAAAGCTGACCTCTCAACTCCCATTGCTGGCTGTTTGGACTTTCTTGGGTTTGCTAAGTTAAATCCCATTTATCTGCCTGTTCTCTAGGTTCCAAAGTGTGGTTGTTAGTAACTTCTTTCTCAATTTATTTGGCTTTGAGAATTGATACCAAATCCTCTATGACTATTTTAAAAGGCCTAGCAAGGGAACAAAGAAGAAAATGAGGATGCTTAAGTGACTGTTTTAATCTGGAAATCATCAAAATGCTGCTATGAAATGATATTTTTTTAAATGGACAACTTGGGAACTCAGAAATAAGCTGGATTTAGTATTCAGTCTCTTCTAACACACACGACAGACAGCAGCCATGTCTATTGTGCCTGCGTGTTCAGTGCGAGTGACCACACTACTCAGGCTGTGATAACCAACAGATACCACACTGCTCCTCCTTTGGAAAGTTCCAGAACAGCCCCGCTCCCCTCCCACTTTGATGGTTTGCTATAGAGGATGTCAAGTGTTTGAAAATATCTCTATTTGTTGCAATTTGTTCAGATTTAAGAGCGACCAGAAAACTGCTTCCTGGAGATTAAAGAGCGACCAGAAAACTGCTTCCTAGGAGACAAAGTCAGGATGCAAAACGACACAGGTCTGTCTGCTTTCAGCAGGAAAGTCTGTTTCTGAGTTGAAATGGGGGCTTGAAACCTCTTACCTATTGTCACCAAAGAAGCCTAAATGGCAATGGCAACATCATTGCTGCTCTCCCCGTGGCCCCTGTCTTCCGGTTATTAATAGTGTGGTTCTCTGTGCCATTATAAATCTTCCCCCTTCAAAGGCACTAAATTCACTTAATTATCTCAAAAATTAAAGAATATAGGCATTTTTTCATTATGAAATGTTAATGGAAAGGAAATAAGAACATTAGGTTGAGAAATGGAGGATGACCTCTGGTTCACTAAGACCCAACCTTATTGACCTTGTCTTTTTTCCCTAATAGGTTGATTGATCCACAGTTAAATCACACCAGTCCATATGTCATCCCGAGCCCTGCAGTAAACCCTTGCTGGCATGTACGGATACATAAAACATCCCCAGACGTTCAGGAGAGATCTTCTTTGGACCATTTTACCAAATATGGGCAGTTTGCATCCATACAGTCTTGGATGTAAGAGCAGGTTTTGTGCAATGAAGAATAAAAGGCAGAGGACATCCTGAGGAGGCAGGTGCGGCCGTCTCACCTGCCAAAGCCCCGGAAAGGCCTTCTATTGCCCAGTTCCTTGTGCTGTAGATACTTGCCACCCATCCCACCCGAGGAGCACAGGATGGAGCCCTATCCTCCAAACCTATAATTACTCCAGCCATACGACATTAACAAAACAAATCAAAGTCAATTTCTCAAAGTGTCAGTCTTCAGCTTTTAAATATTTATAAGGTGCCATATCCCTAAATCACAGAGGAGTGCCACAATCCAAAATAACTACTGGATTAATAGCCAGGAAATAACATTCGGATAAAGAACCATTTAGTTTACCGCAGCAATAAATGAAAACACAGAATTATGAGTACCGCAGCTAATTTGAATGAAGCTCAAGAAGTGAGACTGTCTGGCTGGGAGTACCTGGACTCCTCCGATCTGGCTGGTCCTTTGCTTTGTTTGGACCTGTGTAGTTGAGGGCTTATCAAAGGGAGTCATAAACTGCTGAAAAGGAAGCTTTCGCAGGCACTATAAAACGTAAAATACAATCCTGGGTCGCTTGACACACAATACTGCATTTTGTGATGTTCAGTAAACGGGAAGAGATAACAAAGTGGATGGCTGGTCGGCCCTGACCACTCAGAGCAAAGTAGACCTGTTGCTGCCTGTTCCAGACACCCGCTTGCTCCTCTGGACGAAAGCTGAGGCAGGGAGGCCTTAGGCTTCCAGGACTGGTGGAGGAGGAAGCTGAGTCATGGAGATGCAGAAGGGATTCCAGGGTACTTTCCCCACAGAACTCATGAAGTGCTGGGGATGGCTTTTGGTATTTCGTGAATATTAACTCCTTGGTTCTTTATTAGCACACTAAGAATATTTAATCTGGGGGGAGTATTCAAAATCCTATATTACGAGGAAGCCACATAAATAGATAAAATGATTGCTCTAAATTCGCAGTGTAATCAACAGAGGCAGATCTGACTCTGAGCTGCAAATCCTGGCTCCGAACTACCCCCACTACCTCTGGAAATGGACCAATGCCAAGCTAAGGGTCACCCATTCCTGTCCAGTGCAAAGTAACTTGGTACGCGTGAACAGCACTTGGGATTTAGCTGCAAATGACCTGCCGCGTGGTCCATTTCTTATGATGAACTTCCTAGACCCATTTGGGAGAATACTGTCTTAGCTTTTATTTGTATGAATTCACTCGGGGAATTCTCTAAGCTTATAGCTGCCTTTGGAATGAATCCCAGTTAGTTTTGTGCTGATCGGACACACGTAGAATCAACTCTTGAGAGACCAAGATCTTCCTGAATGAACAAGCTGTCTACTGGAGGAGCAGACACACACAGCAGACATGAGCTTGCTAGTGCAGTGCCATCACCAAAAAGGAGCACGCGATTTCTTGCATTTTCTCTGAGTCATCTAGTTAATTCACCTGGGATTGCCTAGAACATTCTTCCCAACAGATGTAGAAGCTAATCCTAGGCTGACACCGATCCTTGAGCGCCTGTCAACAAGACACTGAAGTGAGTCTCAGATTGAGCATTCCTTGGATAAACCACCACAAGACCATGCAGCATGGCAGCTTGAGCCGTAACAGAAGGAGAAAGCTCAGTGTATAGAAACAGGAAATGCTGAATGTCCATGGCTGTTATAACTACATTGCTGCTGAGACTGCTGAGTTAGCAGCTTTCCCTGATGTGACAAATTCCTGAGAAAAAAAACCACTTAAGGGAAGAAAGACTTATTGGCTTATGATATCAGTGCACGGTTGATTGGCCCCACTGCTTTCAGACATAAAGAAACGTAATAGAAGGGCCTGGTGGAGGAAGGATGCTCATCGCACAACAGCTGTGAGGCCAAGGAAGGGAGAGAGCCTGGACTAGAGATGGGGGGGTGAGAGGAGGGGGGGGAGGGAGGGAGGGAGAGAGAGAGAGAGAGAGAGAGAGAGAGAGAGAGAGAGAAAGAGAGAAGAATATACCATTTAAGGGTACAACCCCCCCAGTAAACTAGGCCTCACCTCCTAATAACTCACTCAGCTATGACTTCAATAGATCAGTTCACTGATGTATTGGGGCTCTCATTATCCAACCACTTCTCAGCATTTCCAATACAGGAGCCTTTGGAGGCATTAGATAGCCAAACTGTAACAGTCATTGCCATTGAAAGCACATATCGCTTTCCCCAAGGAGAACAGAATGGACATAGGACTTCTAATGACAGTCTTTGAGGTCACGCTCTGCCATCTTCCTTAGGACAGCACAGACATGTTTGACAGCTAACTCTGTAGCAGGATCTACCCAGGGTGCAATGCATACGTGCCCTTGGGAAACAAAGCAGCCCCTCAGCCTGAGGTCTGTCCAGAGATGCAACAAAGTGCCCATGCAGTTTAAGTGTGGCAACGAGAAACACGCATGACATTTATGTAATCCCTGAGAGAAACATTTTTAGTTTGGTGTTGTATCTTAACTAGAAATTGTCATTAAACGTTAGCTTTATGAAGTTTATTTAGAATAATTTAAACTTCAAAGAATAGCTATCAGGATAAAAAAAATTCCAATGAAGCCTGTCCCAAATTGTAAGATGTTGTAACTCCATTCCCAGGACCATGACGTGCTCCTGCACAAAAAGAGGAACACACAGACTAACTGGTGAAGACCCAGAAAGTTCAGAGGCAATGAGAACAGATCACAGACCGCGAACCACAGAAGAAGGTCATGTGATGTGGGCCTGGAGGACAGAGGATCACGTGATGTGGGCCTGGGGGACAGAGGATCACGTGGTGTGGGCCTGGAGGGCAGAGGATCACGTGGTGTGGGCCTGGAGGACAGAGGATCGCGTGATGTGGGCTCTGAGGGACGAAAGAGTTCAGCAGAGGAGGAGGTGGCAGAAGCCATCCCAGCAGAGGCCAGGGTGGGCACCGAAAGTTTCTGGATGTCTCTGAAGATGACACAGGCCAAGTGGTGTGGGCACAGAGGTGCCAAAGGCCTTGAACTCGGAGCCAACTAGGACTTGCTTTACTCAGAACCTTTGGCTGCCCCACCAACTGTAACACTCGACCTCATTCTGGTGCAAATTCTCGATTTTTCCAAACTCCCGCCTGTGACTTCAGACCATAATCTTCTAGGACACCATGGCTGGCTTTAGCTAACTGTCCAGGTAAGTCTGCTCCCCTAACCCCAGCTGGTGACCAGTCCTTGTCCTCTGTGGTCAGAGCTCCCTGCTCGGACTGCCTTTCAAAACTCTCCTCGCAACTTTGCTGTGTCAGGTGAAAATGTTAATACCGTTTTTCCTATGGAAGGCTATTTGTGGTTCTCTCTCCCTTCACTCAGCAGCCCACCTTCTCCTTCTAGGAGAATTTTACCGTCAGTCATGTGTCCTCCAGGGCTTTGGTTTTGGTGAGGAAGGCTCTGTTTAAGAGGCCGTGAGGAGAAGGATTTTCCTTTTCACACAGAACAGAAAAATGCGTGGATCTGGAACCTGCCGCTGACCTCAGCGCATTCATCAAAGGACCACCAGGGGGCACTGTTCAGAGCTCATGAAGTAGTTGAATCAGGATTCTGGGCTTGGCTTGCCTGTGGTCAAGTGGACACCTGCCATTGTTTGCACTCAGGGACTCACCTGCCACCCTTTGCAAGGGGGACTGGTGAAGACTTTGACTGACCAGCATCCAGGACCCACCCACGACAGTTTTCATGGCCGCAGGGGCTTTGCCCTTTGTACACCACTTCTTTGACTTGCGCTCAGTTGGGCCTTAATGGCTTCTTGCCCTATTGACTTCAACCTGCTGAGCTAGCATCTTTGTTTCAGGGTTTGCAGCTCCTCTCTACTACAGGGTGAGAGGAACCACAGTTGCTGAGTATCTTCCCTACTCCCTGCTGTTGGCTAGCAGGCAGGCCACGCAAGTGTGAGGAGATGATTCAAAGACTCCTTCAGTGGCTTGATAGACCAAGGAAAGGGGAGAAAGAGATAAGAAAAATTGTTTGGGAACTAAAAGTGAAGCTGTCCAGGAGCATCAGCCTCTAGAGATGGAGCATCAGCCTCCAGGCATGTTGCCAAGTGCCATGTGGCATCTTCGTGTCTCTCCAGGCAGACACTTCCCGAAGGGCAGGATAGGACAGACGTTCTCTGCTTTGCTTTTGAGCCAAGCTAGAGGCCTGTCTAGAAAAAGTATGTAAAAGAAGCAGACACATGGAAGTTGGACACCTTCTCTGGAATGTGTATCAGGAGGATGAGGGGGTAGGAAGTAGGTGGGAGCCGTGTCTGGAGGTTTAAGAAAAGCTTCCTTTTTTAATGGGAAGTTGAGAGAATGGAGCCCCTCCTTGCTCTTCATGCTCCAAGTCAGAGGAGGGTGACAGAGCCAGCGAGAGGGGAACATACGGCTCTGCTCCTATTGCCCAGCGAAATTCCTGGGAGCAAAAGGGTTTTTCTTTTTCCCAGTTCCGCCGTCCCTCGAATTTGTCAATAGCATGTCTGAATTCATCCACACAGATGGCCAAGGGACAGAAACACAAGGGGAGTCACTTGGTAGAGTTGTTTATAATGAGGTCTCCTCAGTCTTTTTCTGGGACAAGAACGGAACGGGACCAAGGCTTAATACGAATGTTGGCTACAGGGACTAGAGACGTTTCAAATGATGGTCCCTTGCTGGCCGTTTCTTTTCACTAAAGCCTCTGGCACCTGGCAGTAAGCATCAGGAGTGGTTAGCCCCATGTAAAAGTGAAATGCCTGTCTGTCTGCGCTGCTGTCTGGGCTTCAGCTGTGAAGGCGGATGAAGAGTGAGGGCGTGTGCCAGAAGGATAGGAAGGGAGAGGCTGAGGAATGAAGTCACATCAAAGGCATGGCAAGCTAAGCAGACGTCAGCTATGGGGACACAGCAGAATCTCCAGCGGATCTCACCGCATCTAGTATGGCGATAAGTTATTTCTCGCTCGGCCTCTCAAGAGGACTAAAGAGGAAGGGGTGAGCAGGTTTTACTGGCTCACCTGCAGCTAGTTTCTCACTAACTCACACTTGAAGGAGGCTCGGAGAGGTTAACTTTTGGAAGGAGGGTTGAGGAAGTTAAGCCAAAGAGAAAGGGAGGCAGAGAAAGGGTTTGTCTGTTCGGAGTCTGGATTGTGCAGAAAGACAAGCTGCCCTCATCTCTTGCCCCAGTTCAGCAAGGAAATCTATCAAGACCAGAAAGAGCAGGGCTGGCGACAAACATCCCAAGTTGCAGAGGACTTCAGTTCAGAAGGCAGTGGGAGAAGAAAGCCTGGAGGTGAAATCATAGAAATGAGGAAGGGTACAGGACGGTGCGGAAGAGGAAGGACTAGTTAGCAGGAAGCAGAAGGGGAAAGATGCTGAGTGATGTCCTGGACGTCCCTGGCATCCTGTGGTGATAGTCTGTGCTGAGAGGAAGGATGCTAACAAGTTGGACCACCCTCCTCTGGCTGTTCTGGGCATCTTTTCAATGAACTAACTTTAGTTGGCTCAGCATGAACCGAAGCATATACCGAACCTTCTCGGAATTACACTGTGTGTGTTCACACTGTGCTGGACAGGAGGAGAAAAGGCACCCCCGCCCCAGGGATCAACCAGTTAGCGGGGACAGGGGCATGGGGCCAGGCCACTTTATCAAACACTGTCCATAGGTGTCTTTCCTCACTAGGCCTCCTTTCAGAGTTAATAACTGGAGGGGACTCTTACCTTTGTAGTCACTGTGGTGAGATGGTCCAGATTGTTCTCTCTTCTCCAGGCCCGAGCAGTCTGCAGGCTTGTGTATCGCCACACAGCTCAGGCTTCTCCGGGACGGTAAAACCTCCCTGACTGACACTTCAGTTTTGTCAAAAGATCATAAGGTCATACATGTGCAAGCATACATGTGCGCATACACGCACACACGTGCCCCCCACCAACAGTAAAACCAACCATGCGACTTTGTTAACTTTCTTGTTCTTTTTCTGCCCTAAGCATGGTCTATCTAAGCATGGGCTATCTCAGGTGGGGCTTCTCCTTTAGCCTGAATCCCGGCATGAAGACGCTACAGGGTCACAGGGGACAGAGGGCCAGCTGCTGATGTGTACCCAGAATGAGAAACAAACCCCTGTAGCCATATACTCCCATGGGAGTTGCTCCAGTGGCCTCTCCCTCCATACACTTTGCCCCTTTTATACCACTTCTTCTCATCTTAAATTGCCCTGACCTCCTCAGGTCTACTCCTCAGGTCTCCGACTAACTGGTAACGTTCTGCAGCTTCAATTTGAAATGTGAGGCATTTCTGATACCACATAGAATGTAATGGTCGTACTTAGACCTGTGTACCAAGATCTGATTAATAGACACATGTCTAGGAAATCTAATAATGATAAATAATATAACCGATCAAGAATGGAATATTTTTAAAATTGGAATTCTCACGGTGAGAAATATTTTTCCCTTATGATGATGATTTGGGTAAACGGGAACTTCAGACTCGGATTGTTTTACGGATCCTTCTGGATACAGTGCGTACTAACTCACTCGAAAGAGCACAGGCAGATTATAAATTCACGCGCTGGAAATGAATAAAGTCATATTTCTCTCTGTTCTGGTTACTCATTAGCAAAGCTCTTTGTCTATGTGGTCCAACTTTATTTTACGAAAGACTGAGATTACGCAGGCCCCTGCCTCCAGGCAGCGATGCAGGTAATTCTTGCAAGAGTTGGGAGCTGCAGGATGACGGGAAGATGCCTCTCTCCTTCCTGGTGTCCATGGTGTAAGCTACAAGCACGAGACAGCAGCCATTTTTCTACTTCTTTAAAGGTCACAGAGGATAAGCGATTACAGTAGCATCTCACCCACTGACTGAGCTTTCAACGGTAAATCCAGATATTGATTTCAAGAGCTGCAAATCTCTTATTCAAATATTTCTGATAGGGCTACAAATCTTGAGAAATCAAATATTTTTCTGAATGAAGATCTATGAAAACAGATGATGGATTTCGTAAGCCGTCAAAGCAAAAATGTTACGTCTCACAGTTTGTCATCGAGCGTGATATAAAACACCAATGGGGAGATTATTTATATTGATAAAAATTATTCTTCCGCACTGCAAGCTAGTTTCTGGGGGAATAAAAATAAAATATCCGTGTGGCTTTTTGCCAGAACTAGAAATTTTCTGATCTTGAATTAGATAGTGAAAATAATGTAGATTAATGCCTAAAGTCATTTCTTGGAGCCTGATAGAGCATGCGCTATTGTGTAGGCAGGCGGAATGAATTGCTCGCTCTGCCAGACATGCTGTATTTTTACCACTCATCTGCTGTGATTACTACTCTCACATTTTTGTTTTTTGCTGGAGATATAGCAATATATGGCAATCTTCTTTTGACTACATTTCTTCCCTTTTATTTTTGGTGATTGTTCTTTTTAATGCCCCCTCCCAGAGATTCATATTTCAATCAGGCTACCTTTGCCCAAAGTTTTCTTTCTTTCTGGGTGGTGGCTGCAGGATTACAGAGCTGGTCAGCCTTGTTATTTTCATGGGTACAGGCAGTGCTCTGTACTACAGACAGCAATCTCATCTCATCAATAAATGGATCACAACATTAAAGAGACATGGCCGGATCAGACAAATCTTACTCCCTAGTTACCCAAACAACGAAGACTCATGTCCCAGAGATGAGTCCAGGATGTTGTCACCCCGTGCCAAAGATGACAAATGACACTGTACCACACAGAAGCTGACATGTGTATATCTATATCTGAAAAAACAGAAATTATGCATATAGTTAAAATAGCAGATTAGTGAATATATATAGTGAGCAAATATATATATATATTTACATATAAATATATAATATATATAAACCATTGTTTACAAATAAGGAATGTAACTGCTTGGGATCAAATCTTCCCTAAAGGACTGAGCTGTCAGCTGTTCAGAAGGCTTCTCCTGCAGAGGACCACGTTCAGTGTTCAGCCCCCTCAGAATTAGGAATCAATGTGGAAGAGGAGGCAGAAAGTTAGTAAGAGTCAGCGATAGTGGACGGCTCCGAGAAAACAGTGTCTTCCAGACACAACAGGAGCCCACAGGGACTGTGGCGGCTCACACAGGGTCTACACAAGTCCAAGCTCGGCAAAATTCCAGTCGGAGGAGGGAAAGTGGGCAGAAAGTCCCACGTCTAACTAAGAAGGTG